GTATTTAAGGAGTGTTGCTCTATCGTTGGACCTCAGAGGGATGATTCTTGGTGTGCTTGGCCCATATATAGCTTTGGTTGCACTGAAGAAACTACTCATGTCTTGGTTATTGGCAGGCATTTGGAGCAAGAGTGTTTGCAACCGCAAGAAAAAACTATATTTACTGAAATCTAAGATGAGTTGTATTCTTTGTTCAACATGGGGGAAAAAGAAACCTTGTCTTAGATTTAAATATGGCCAGGGTTGGGGGCTACTCTGGCTCTGGCCTCAACTGGAGGAAGACCAAGTGGTCTGTGTGTTTGTGTGCATGTGTGTGCTGGGGAGGTGGCAAGTGTGGTATGGGGTGGGGTGAGTATGGGGGGAGATTGTGCACAATTGGGGGTGGGGGAGTGTAGGATAGACTGTGGGGGGAGCATGGGGAAGATTGTGTGGTTGCAGTGGTGAGGGAAATGAGGGAAAAGTCATATGGTGCAGAGTATGGGGAGCATGGGGGAGACTGTGTTGTGCAGGGTGGAGGAAAGGCAGAAGATTGCATGGTGCAAGGTGCAGGGAGCATGGGGGAGATTGCACAGCAGCAAGGGAGTTGCTGTGGCTCTGGCTCCAACCCTGACCCAGAACCAGGGTTGGGGCCAGGGCTGGAGCTGCTGCCACTACTGGTGCTTGGCTAGGGCAAGAGCCACCATATGCTCTGTGCTCCAGGCTGGAGCCAGAGCCATAGTGGGCTAGGGCAGGAAGCAGAAAGGGCAAGTGACTAGGGGTGTGAAGGCACTTGGAACAAATGGTGGGGGAGCAGGTAGCAGAAGGGACAGGTTGCAGGGGAGCAGGCACTGGGGGGTCACAGTCACCGGGGCTAGGACAGACATTAAAAAAGCCTGAATTGATTCAGTCTTTGCAGGTTAGTCTAACCTGGCTAAGCTAAATCAGTTTGTAACCAGACAGGCATCCCAGAAATACAGGCACATTCCTGCAGTGGTTCAGGCTAGAAGTTGGGGGGGGCGCCCTCCCTTCCCTTCCCTTTCCTTCCCTTCCACAGAGCTGAGTTGAGGGGGTGGGGGTGCATGGCTAGGCCCTGGCAGGATGTTCTGATGTTCCCCCCATCCCTCCTGAGCAGCCCAGCAGGGAATGTTTATCACCTCTAACTTAGTGTTTATCACCCCATTAAGAAAACAGCAGCAGGACATTACCAGCTACCTGTTGATTCTGCCTTTGTCCTGCCTTCTACAGCTCAGAGGTAGTCAGTATGTGGTCTGCTAGCTAATGCTGAGAGGTGTCTGTGAGGGACAGGGGAATGCCTGCTTAGCAGAGACTGGGGAGGGGATGGGAGGAAGCAGAAGCCAGGCCGATGCCTGTAGAGACTGCTGGAGCTGCAGCCAGGGAGCAGAGAGGAAGGGGCCAGCCCTACTATGGAGCAGAGAGCCCTGCCCAGCCCAGAGAGCATGCTGGGATGCTGGTGGAGTCTGATTTAATTTAAACCAGCAAGGGGTGTGGGACAGACATTGCATAAACTGGTTTGAGCCAAATCAGTTAAGTCTGATACTACATTCAACCAGGTTTATCTCAAACTGGTTTCAGCCTTTTCCAAACTGGTTTATGTACACTGAATATCTGTTCTGTTATGGGTTTAAACCAGTTTCTGATCACTTAAACTGGTGTATGTGTAATGTCTGTCCCTAGCCTGGGGGGGGGGTGGTGGGGGAAGGGGGGGAAGCTGCCTGTGCAATGACAATTGTTTTCCCCACTGCTGCTTTCCTCACCACCTTCCCCTCACCCCTGCTTTCTCTGCTGCAGTGGTGGGGGGAAATTGAATTTAAGATGACTGTCCAAATATTAGACAGTATACTTGGAGAATTATAACTAAGTTTATAGAATTTAGAGTATAGAATCTAATTATGGGGAGGTTGTCTTAAATTCAAAGTTGTCTGGGATTCAGGTAAATATGGTATTTGAAAATGCCCAGGATAACTTCAAAGTTGAAATAGATAAAGATGGTTTCCTCTTCCTGCTTGTCTTTTACTTGCTCAACTTACCATCAGTCTTCTAGTACTCTTTATTTAACCCTTTCGCTGCTGCTAAAAGTTACAGGAGCCCTAGCTATAGATTGCTATACAGAAGTCAATAAAAGAGAGTAGTTTCTTGGAGCTAACTGTAATCTTGTTGCATTCAAAAGTGATTAAGTAAGCTATTGGCATGATTATTTAATTTGTATATTATGGTAGCACCTCAAGGCCCTAGTCAGTACTCATTGTATGAAACTGAACAAACACAGAGTAAAGAATAGTCCCTACTCCAAGGATCTAAACATCTTTTTCTTCCTTCTCTGACAATATTTTCACCTTTTTCTTTCCTCTTTCTGTTGTTTTCCTTTTCTTTTCCTGGGTGGGCTTTATCACGTTTCCACTTGTGATTCTCTACCGTTTGCTTTCTGTGCTTTTAACCTGAAACTATGGCTGTGCACACTGAGCTGATTAGTCCTTATTACATCTGTTCCACTTTTCTAGCAGAGTAACTTTCAGTTTACTGTTACAACACAGCACTGTAAAAAAACATCTTACTAGATGGAGCAGAATAGCAGCTGTGTAATAGAGGCCAGCATGCTGTCCCAATGGGAAAGGGTCAACATCCAGGGATTGAGGTTATTCAGGAAATGGGAAACATATTTTTTCTTTCTTTGACCTACCTGTGACAAACTACTGCATAACATTTATATTCTCACCGGAGTATGACAAGCTGCAGAACGGAAGAAATATATATTGCAGACATTTGTAAAATGTTAGATGACTTACTTCTAGATGTAAGTAATAGGTATTCTGGTTTGGGTGCAGGAAGAATAATAATTCAACCAAAGAAAGCTATTGCAATAGGCCTTGCATCTAATATAATTGGAAATGTTGAAATATAAAAGACTGTTACTATCTGACTTTTTTTTCCCTTCTGCCCCTTCAAACTAACCATGATATGTTATTTTATGCACTATATTACTGCCATGAGGGAGCAATAAGTGACCAACTTTCCACATCTTTCATCACCCTGGTTCCTTGATTTTCTCTTGTTTGAATTTACCATTCATTCCAGTACTAATTTCTATTTTGAGAACATATGCTGGCCTTTAATTTGCAATTTACATGGATGATAGGGCCCTATTCAGAAACCTGTTACTGCTGCCTTTGTGTTTTTTGCCTCACCTCATGTGGTCATTAGGATGAACAGCATATAATTAGCTAAATCCACGTAAAGCTCTGAATTGCAAATTCTTGTTTGTACTTCTAGTTTTCTGTTAAATGCTTTTCAGTGGCTTTCACAAATTGTAAAAAAAAAAAAAAAAAAAGAACTGTCCATGTTAATATTTTGGTAGTAATTTGGTTAGCATTTCATCTGCCATTGTGGGTTAAAAATGACAAGATGTTATTTGTGGGCAGGTGGCCAAAATATCAGAGCCCACTAGCTTAGCTTGAGCCACATGGATGCAAAATTACTTTCATGTTAACTTACAAATATTTTAAAAATATCTGTCAAAAATGGACAGGCATATTTTATATATTCTTTTTTTCTACAAACTGCATTCGTTGTTGAGAACCATAGTTTTGAATGTTGACTAGCTAAAGTTTTTAAATTATGCATGGATTAAAATGTTCCATTTCAAAACATGAATTATCCTAGTGGTTTATAATAAGCAAAATGTTAAACTGAGAAAATCTCAGAGGAGTGCATGATGATAAGAACAATATCAAAATGTGTTTTAATGTGTTAAGCAATTGAAGAAATTAAAAATGTACAAAAATACAGAAATGATATGGATGTGTTTTAGCTTTGTAGTACCAGTACATTTTGGTTTCTGCTCTCAGACTTTTATGCATGTTTTTGATTGGTTTAAAGATGGGAAATACTAGGGGCAATTTTTGTGATCATTCAGATTGATTCAAAAACAACTCGAGAAAATTTTTTTGTGTTGGAACATGTGCTACTGCAAGGGAGAGAAAACATCCACATATGCTGAATTGGAAAGAAAACACTCTTGCTTATGATCGAGGGGCTATGGCCCCAAAGTCTGTGCCATTTCTATGACTAAGTTGGTCAAGGGAGATCTTGGGGCCTGTGCTACATATTGCTTGCCCTTTGATCAAAGACCCATTGTGCCAGTTCATTATATTATTAACTTTTACACAATCTGGAAAATTCTACCTTGAATATCTCATGCTGGAAACATTGTCCCCACAACTTTTTTGCTTGCCAAGCCTCCACGTTTTCAGGCATGGCAATAGATGAGTTGACTTGTAGAGGAAGGAACATTTATTAACATATTGAGTGCGTCTACATGAGATGCTACTGCAGAGTTGTTAGTGCGCATTTATTTAGTACTTGTATTAGCAAGTACTAAATAAATGTGCACTAACTGAAGTTATTTGGCAGTGCTACTGTGCAGTGTCTTTTAGGTGATGCTACTGTACAGCAACCTAATAATATTGTGCAGTAGTACTGTCTGTGCTGTGATGCACTACTGTGCAGTGTTTTTCAGCTACTGTGCAGTCAGCATCTCGTGTAGACATGCCCACCATATACATGACTGTTTCTGCAAGAGTCATTCACTGTGTTAGGATTTAATTTCCTGTCCAGCACAAAGTCCTGCCCAGGCAGTGGGATTCTATGCCATAATCAGGGATGTAGCTCAAAATTTGGTCAAATTAAATATTCCTTGTACCTCCAGAATTTTTATGAAGTGCTCAAAAAAACTGAACAGAAATTTACTGTTAGCATTTTAGGCTACCCCTTTTAATGGGACCGTTTGCTATATTAACATTGTTTTATGTTTTTGAGGGTTTTTGTTTTCCTTATCCTGTTAACCTGTGTTTGGGTTTTACTTAATAATCCCTGCCAAGTAGGCTGGGGCTGGAATAAATTATATTAGCTCGAGGTTTATTGATTTTGGTGGTTGAGCTGATAAATCATTGAGAAATGATGTATAAGCTTCTGTTTCTTAAGGAAAGCTGTCTTTTGTTTGTCAGGTGTCGTATAAAAAAGATGTGGAAGATATGCATAGATACACTGAGGTGCTGAACAGGCCAGACATAAAGATGGCAACAGAGATAACAAAGATAATAAGCAATGTATGCTCTTCACTTACTGTTTCTGTCAGGTTTGAAATATATTATTTTCTTCATGTCACCTTTAGTCAAACTGTATGGGATGCTTGCTAAGGTGTTCAAACTTGCTACCACAGACTATTACCTGCATTTATATTTATCCACCTAGATAAAAGTAGTGTGAGAGTGTGGACTTGCCCAGAGCATTTCAAAACAGGGTCATTTTCATTTTGATGCCTGAGAAATCACTTTTAAAAATACGTAGTTTGAGGTATCATCAAGAATTTTTTGACAGTTCATTTATACATGTTCCATTTTTCTGACCATTTTAGAAAAAATGTGCAGTGTACTTGCTAGAGGATTACTTTTGCTAGGAAAGATCATGGATTTTCAGCTTTGTGAGACAATTTTTACTCCATTGTATCAGTGCAGCCTTACTGACTTCAGTTTCCTACTACAGGATTGCACTGGTGTCACAGAGTAGTATTTGACATTTTATTTCAAAAGAACAGCCACTCCCTCCTCCTGGTTTTGTTTGAAAACTATTGTTAGATACTGAAAATAATGTTATGGAAACGGTGGACCAAATTGTCAGAATTGCTGAGCTGCTGTAACACATTCTGACTTGATTGAGAGCTGTGGGAGACCAGCACCCCTTGAGTTGGATTCTGCAGTTGGATAGAGTTGTTTTGTGAATGCAGTGCGTTGTATTTCAGATAAAATAAATATTATGTTGTTAATGAGAGAAAGCCGGGAAGGCCTTTTTAAAGAGCTGATTAGAACATTAGTGAGAGTAGTGTCACTGCAGGTCATTAAATGATACTTTCTTTTCTATTAACTCTAATGCTTATATTTCCCTTGATAAAACAGAAGCAAAGGGTTTAATAGTGATTAGTATTAATTTTTTATTTTTTCTTCTTTTAAAGACTATGTATAAGAAAGGAAGAGGAGAAATGAATAAGGAGTCTGCTGTACTTGGAAGACCAGATTTCGAGCATGCTAAAGAAGTTTCTAAACTTTTAAGCCAAGTAAGATCATGTCTGTCATTTTTACAATGACTTCATTCAGATATCTCCTTCCTAATAACACAATAAAATATTTAGTTTTTGTTAAGATTATTATCTCCAATTGCATGAAAATGTGAAGCTAATGTTTCCAAACCCATTTCAGATAAAATTGCAATAATTGGTAAATTTAAGATACTTAGAAAACAGTAGATACAATTTTAAACAGTAGCACAATGCACTGTTAGACTCAGTTACATGTAGGGTGTCAGACTAGTGTGTTGTAGTATTTATACAAAGTTTCTAGGATTTCTGAAATATTAACTCTGTCATCTAGAGTCAGATTCAGCCAATTTTACTTATTTGGTGATTAAGGTAACTGGGACTTCTTATATAACCACTCACCATTGTGAGAAAAGGGATCAGGATTTAGTCCTAAGTGGACAAAAATGGAGCTACTCTTATACATTAAAATCAAATCATGAACCAAATTCTCTCCTCATGTAGATGTATATAACTGTCTTTGATTTGCTAGGTAGTATCAATCTTCCCTGGAACTGAAAACACATGAATAAACATAGAATAGAAGAAGCTGCAGTGCAGTGTTGTGTAATTCTTTCATTTGACTTGGAGACATCAATTTCCATTAGAGCTAAAAAAAACCCATGGAGAAAACTGTGTTTAGAACAGTATAGAATAGAACAATTGGCAAAAAGCATTGGGCCTGTTTTAGCGGTCTTTAGCTCTTTCTGATAGGATCAGGTACTGGGTCCAGAGATCAGCTGTTCATAAAGAATTTTCCAGAGAAACTGTCCCCCTTTTTATAAGAACACTGTTCATTTAAAAGCCATAGAATTTAAGAAAAAACAAAACAAATTTCTGCTCACTTTATCAGTTAAAAACTGGTTTTGTGTTCCAATTAGATGATGATGTTCCTTTTTTGTAACACATTAAATGGTAATTCCCAAGCAGACTGAGAAGCACTTAATACATTTCTCATACTCCTGGTATTTACTCAAGAAGCAGTGCATGCTCTACGTGACAAGCTAGGGATTAGCTTTTTAGATCTGTATATTAATGATGGGAAGGGGATAAAATGTTTACTTTTAAGAGTCACAGTTACTAATTTTTAAGAATATAAACAAAACATGCACTTTTTGTTCACTTAAAATGTACTCTGTTACATTTCTGACTCCATTCCACTGCAGCCCACTTCATAAATAAGAGAGCTTGCTCCTTTCCCTAATCCATCTCCATTTTTTACATACTTACAAAATCAAGTAGCATCTACCAACAGTACACTCCAGCTGCCCTTTGCTTTTGTTTCTGACTCAACTTGCTTCAATTGTTACTAACAGTCATGAACATCTCATGCCTCCCAAGGCTGGCGGGGGGCATGGTGACCGACCTCAGGTGGCGGCAGCAGTGAGTGGGGAGCTTCTACAGGCAGCCTCTGGTGGTGTAGGCAGTGGGGAGGGTGGGTGGTGAGTGGTAACCGCCCACAGGTACCACCAGCAGTGTCAGCAGCAGCCAATCTCAGGGGGTGCCTTGCCAATCTCATGGTGTGCACGTGCACCCACATGTACCCCCTATGCATTGCCAATGCTAACAATCACAATAATAAAATACAATTTATTGCTTAGAGTAGACTGTTGCTATACCAGTTCCATCATTCAGCTCACATACATATACTTTTATTTCTCCTTTCTTTTTCTTCTTTAACTTACACCTAGGGTCCATATAGCTGAGGGTGTGGCCATTGGAGAGGCATGGCTGGCAAACTGGAGCACATTCACACTTATTAGTGAATCACATTGGGTGCATCTACACACGCAGTTAGTATGACTCAATAAACTCTGGCACAGTTTGCACCGGAGTTAACTGTTCCTGGGTGCAGCATCTGTACATGCACTGGACTGCAGCAGTTTGAGCTGGGGTAGAGCAGCCCCGGGCTGGCAGGGGCGTGGGGGGCTCAGCTCCAGGAATCCAGGTAGCAGCAATGATGGGGCTGGGTAGGGTACAAGGGTACTACAGTGCAAGCCTAGGCAACAGGCAGCTCCTGCACTGTAGCACCCTTGTGCCCCAAGCAGCTCTGGTTTGTGATGTGACTGACCCTCAAGCCTCTGTCGGCTTTATGTCTTTTGTAAAAGAAAAAAAAAATTGACACCGAAAAGCAGCGAAGTGGCAGGCAGCCTCATTGGACTAGTGCATTTTTGCACATCACAATCTATGCCACTGTTATTTATTTGAATCAGCATGAAAAGTAGGAATTTATTAGATTCTTGGAAAAATGAAGCTTTATATGTCTAGTTTTTTATCATTAGAAGGTAAATCATATAATTTAGAATATACCTTATTTTATAATTATATTCTGTCCAAATAGTGATGAGACTGTGTTTATCTCTTTTGTTCAATTTTTAAAATGAGCTCTTTTTAAAATTCAGTCAGTAACCACTTACAATAAGCATTTCTATCATTATATATACATATACAATGCAGAAACATTATTATATATACTGTATTTTCTTGCATACAACATGTCCAGGAATATACTACCTTGTTTTTGAAAGGCAGAATGAAGAAAACTTTTTTCCCCATAGTTATGTTTGCATGGAGGAAGGGCAGAGTCTAATCTTCAGCTGAGTTACCCTCCCTTTCTTGTTTAACTAAAGCTGAAACCCTAGCTGCTGCTAAAGACTAGTTGTCGTGGGTGGATCTATGATTCTGAAAAGAGCTAAAGAGGCTTGAAGGTTATGAAATAGGAGAAGAGAGACCAGAAACAGTTAACAGACAGCAAAATTGCCCTGAGGAATTTTAGCTTGATTAGTGGAACACCAAGATTATTAAAAAGGGAAATGATAGTTAACTTTTGGAGTAAAGAACAAAGAGCCATTAAGTCAATTGACTCCCTCAGCTGCCTGAGGACTAATGCAATGGCTGCTGCACTGTGAAGCAGGAATTAGAGCAGGTTGCTTCTATCTCCTGCAGAAAATCAGCATCCCCTCTTAATACACATAACCCAATTTGGGGGCTGATTTTGGGGAAAAAGGCACATGTATGTAGAAAAATACAGTGTGTGTACGTGTATGTCTACAATGTACAAATACATATATGATATATACTAACTTTATAGTCTTATGATAAATTATTTTATTACACCAATGTGATGACTGCTTTACAGCAAAGGGCTAATAGAGGTAAGATTTTGTGTAAAATGTACTTCACATTAGCGTACCAATGGAGATAACATTGAGGGATTAAATGAAGAATTTAAGCCCTCAATTTTTGTCTTTTTTTTCTTAGCTTAAACTCAGCTAGCACTTTCAGGCACCCACATTTAATTTAACTCCATGTTTACATTACATATCCTTCAGAAACTAGGTATTCTTGCAGGTTTTTCATTTCTTAATCTGTTTTTGGCCATGAGGAAACGTTTCTGCTGTAAGTGTGTTTTATTGCAGTGGTACATTCTGGGATCCCAGTGGCTGAATGATTCGGTTTTTGTAGGTTTTTTTTTTGTAAATCTGAACAGACTTGGATGGTGATGTCATCCATTTATGAAACTGAACACTCCCTGTGTGAATGGCTTTGAACTACAGATTTGATTCAGGAATGTTGCTTCTAAGCTTCAAAAGAAACTGTTCTATCCAGCTGCAATTGTGACTTTTATAGGTTTTGTGTAGGGCAAATGAGAAAATTGTTTATCCAAACTTTATTTGATGCCAGTAGGTTTTCAGGGAGGTTGTTGTGTTAAAGTCTTCTCATTTGTGAGCAACAATAGGGTACAGATCCCACACATTTCCTTTAAATTAATCCTCCACTCCACAAAACAAACAAACAAAAGGCCTTAATTAAGATGTATTATTTTAAACCCATGTCATTATTGAGATTTTTTTAAAAGATCAAATTCTTAGATAAATTTCCATCAACAACTTTAATTTTGACTCCCACATTTTTCCTTAGCATCCACCACCACCCTTGCACAGTAACTAGGATGACCTCTTCAGATTTTCCTGTCTCATTGATGAAATATTTTTCTTGTTTGCTTTTAATTAATACCTTTTCTTTTAATTAATACCTTTTCTTTCAGGCCTATTTTATTTCTTTAAGCCATATTTCTTCTTTCTTCCCTTCCAAGAGAAAGTAAACATAGCATACAAGTACTTACTCTGACTGATTAATATATGATTGAATATATGGTCCGCCTAAGTTTAGAACCCTCATTCTTTTAGGCACTGTACTACAGCCCCTTGTGGTCATGTTTTTTGCTTCAACACCAATGTATCCCATTAATGTGATGAGAAACAGTATTACAGAACACTAACAAGAATTCATTACTGAAATATCTGTACTGAAATGTACCATTATTATTTTTTAAAATCTATGGCTGTCAGATTAGTTCAGTTGTGGCATGATAAATTAGTTGGAGAGAGTGCCCATTTGCATTGATGTTTTCACATTTGCTTGAATATTAGGGACATATTGTGCACTCAGTTTACATGTGCAGCTTGATGTCATTTGTTGACAAAGGGGATGATATGGCATTGAGTAATATAATGGTTATATGGACAATGACTTTATAATGTACTTTGCTTCCCAAGGAGTAGAAACAGGGTTGCATTTGCCATGCGTATTTGATCCCCATGTTAGATGGCCCATTGATTCACACTTCCTAGCAAATATAATTTTGTTGAATTCATATTAGGAGGCAAGCTGGAGACAAACTTTTTTAATAAAGAAAAAGCCTCAAAGTTATCCCTATACTACTACTTATAGTGAATATGTAATTGCCTTGATAAAGCAGTTGTCTTTGCATCCAGATATGCACATTTCTAATTGATCCAAAGCCAATGCAAATGTCTTGCAATGTGAGTTAGATGAATCCACCAGAAATCAATAGATGTTTCTTCTCAGAATCTGCCTGAAAATTTATAAAGCTTATCAGGTTCTCACAGAAAAGTCTTTTTTAGAAGTTACATTATTTGGATTTACTTCTTTTGAGAAATAAGTTTGATTTGTTTCATCATTTCATAGATCTGGAACATAAATAGTTAAGTGACTGATTTCTTTTTCTTTCTAATGTTCCTGAGATAACAGAATTGGTAAGTTAATGCAGTGATACTTATGTAAACTAAAACAGGATGAGTCTTTTGCATTATAGGAAATCTAAAATGCAGATGAAAATTCTTCCAATGATAAAACCCTGAAAAAAATAATTTCTGAAAGGGGCACTTGTAGTGGTTTAACCACTTTATCAAACACTTGTGCAGGGAGAATGAAAAAAACTTGCATATTTATTTAATGGATAGCATGGTAAATTGTATTGGATGTAATGTAGACTCAGGCATGAGGGAACTTGGCTTATATTTGCAAAAACAACACAGTTCAAAATGAAAGTTGAACTTTATTCTGCCCCAATATTCCCAACCGTTGGAAAACATCAAGACAGTGAGCGTGAACTTTGATTGACACAATTAATAGCCATGCACAATGGGTTGAGTTTAAGCATACAATTTTACTATTTTCTTAATTTCTGTATGTTTGCAGATGTTTATGTTTGGGACTGTTTTACCTGATGTTGTAGTCTTAACTATAATTATTTGCACCCCTTTCCCCCCCCCCCTTTTTTTTTTTAATTCCAAAGATTAAAGATAGATGTAGATTGAAAAAATATCTGTGTCACAGCAGCAAAGGTAGGCACAATTCCTTTTTTATAGATGAAAGCATTGAGGCAAACTGTGTGTATCCTAAGGTCATGCAGGAAATCTATGGAGAGCTCAGAGAGCTTTTTGCCTAGCTTTACAAATAATGGATGAAAAACTGGCCTTATTGCCATTAGTGGGAAAACTCCCATTGGCTATGATTTGGGTGAGAATGTTATCCTTGACTATAGTACTGATGGGATAATTTACAAATAATTGGTTTAAGAAATTTAACTTCTTTTGGCTTCTAGAATATTTTTAGCATCTTTTCATTTATATGTTATTCAAAATTGTGAGAATTAAGCCATTCTCAATGAGTATTCATTAGTCATTGGGTGTGTACAGACATTCGAAGGTTAGAGAACATAAAAAAGGGCCACTGAACCTCTCTTAGTTCACCCATATGTGGACCTTACACTTAAATCCCTAGTTTGGTCTATCTAAGTTTTGAACTGTACAGATGTTCTCTGAAGGTTGGATTGGTTAAAAAATGGATGGCTCAATCTAACTTTAGTTCACCTAAGAGGTTCCCTAAGTTAGATTGGTTATGGTTAGACTAATCTAACCAAATATCTGTACATGTTCAGAATGGAGCCCCGAGATGGGGAAAACCCAGGTGCTCACAGCAGCTTCCCTCTGGCCCCCATCCCTAGGCTATTTCTAGCCATTTCTTCCCCCACCCCAGATGGACAACCTCCTCCCAAGGACCAGGTACCCCGAGCCTGTAAACCACCCCTGGTGCCAGGAACCTGACTGAAATAAGTCAGGGTGAGAGGAGGGGGGTGGGCAGGATCAGAGGGGGTGTTGGTCGCGGGGGGGTTCATCTGGAGGTGGTGGGATTGGGGGGTTGTCATATATATTTTGGGGTGGGGAGTCCCCCCTCAGACCCCAGTAACTCCCTGTGGACCTTCTAACCGCCCAGTCCTACCCCCACATGGAGCTGCTAGCCTGCCTGATCTGCCTAGTCCTTCTCCTGCCCTGATTTATTTCAACTGGGGTTCTGTCACTGGCAAACACTAGTAAAACTGGCACCAGGAGCTCTCTAATAGTGCCAACCCCCCACAGATCCTGCTAGCCTCCAACCCCCCATAGACCCCACTATCCCCTCATTTTCCCCAAACCTTTTCTCCAAGGACCCCACCAACCCCCCCACAGATCCCACAAACCCTCTGATCCTCCCAAGCCCCTCTGAGGACTCCAGTAGCACCCTGAGACCACCAACCTCCCCCCACCCCCCAATCCCACCTGCCCACCATTTCCCCTACTGAGAATTACCTTAAATCTGGCTCCTGTCACCTGTCTAATCACTGAGTTAGATTGGGCAACCATTTTTAACCTAAATTTAAGTTCCCAAACTTCTAAGTGTTACATCTGTACACACTCTCAGGGTTAAGTCAGTCTCAATGAGTATTCAGTAATCAAACTTTATTAATAATGGTTGGTCATGTAGATCATATAGGGTTTTAATTTTTTTACTCAAGCACTTGAGTATAAATACATGTATGTGTAAATCTAAAAATATTTTTTTATATGTTAGTAAGACTCAATTACATGAGAGTTTGTAAAAAACTAACATAGTATGGACTCAGCTCTGGCTGAAATGAGGTCTTTTAAATATTCAGTTGAATAATCATAGTCTTATTTTTTTTAGTAAGTGTATGTACCCAGTGCTGTCTGTCATATACCTAATCCACAAGAATATGTTGTCAATGATAATGGTGCTAATGATATCACAAATATATTTGCTTCTTTTTATTACCTTTATTTACATACAACTGTTGGGGGCTTTGTTTGTTTAAAACAGGTGATTAATATATGTTAAAGTAAAAACATTCTTACATAAAATGTGCTCATGGGGAACTTTTCTCTCTGATTTTGTCATCTTTTTCACTATTGTTATATAATGACTGGGGATTCATGGATGAAGAATTTGTCTTTAATAAGCTCCTTAGCAATCTCTGAATTTTTCATGCCTCCCTTCACTGTTACATTTTAATGCAAGATCTGTTTGCTTTGACAACAGGTTAAATACAAAGAGCAGTTCAATAAAGAAATGAAGAGTCACCAGTATAATCCTCTTGACAGTGCTGCTTTCAAACAAGCACAGATTGCAGCTACTTTGGCAAGTGATGTAAGTTCATTATTCTATGCTGTATCCTAGTCCAAAGAAAATATGGCATCTGTAAGCCTCACAACTTGCTTGTAAGCTGAAGCTGCATTGTGCATCTTTGATTTTTCTAAGAACACAATTTGTATTGTGTTGTGTATATATAAGGTAACTAAGGGGTTGACTATGGAATTAAACATGGAAATCAGTTTGAAAGTAGAACTCAGTTTTTGGAGCCCATGGTAGAGTACAATATACAGGGACACATTTAGCTTATTTTTCCCTTATCATGAGACCTGTTTCCTCCAAGTTGCTATAGTGTACCCTTCCATGGCCATTTTCTGTCCTGACCTTCCTCAGGTTGTGACCCAACCCACTTATTTTAGAGGCTTTACTATTTGTGCTGAATTTCTGGGTAATCAAATGGAGTGGTAAATTGGGAGATAAAGCTGAAGTTCAACATTCTATGCAATGAAAGCAGTGAGAGGATTTAATATATGTCATTATCAGATAATGCCAGTATTATTTTCTTAACATTTATCAGTAGCATAATCCTATCAATATAGCAGGAGTACAGCAGTTTGGCTCTCTCTCAATGACATGATTTTGAGTCCCACTTCAGACTCATGCTAATGGCAGTCTCTCCAGTTGATCTACTGTAAGCATGTACCTCGTCATTTTAGCCGGAGAGTAAAAGGCTGCCAGAAAAATGTTGTCAGCCACTGATCTAAAATGTCCAACTTCTTGCCCAAGGCAGGATAATCTGTGTCCAAACAATCATAGGCAAATATCTGCCTAATGTGTTCTTAAAAACTTTGGGAACAGCCATCACACCTTTTTGGAATATCCTATTACCTGGCTGAATCAATTACTATCTATAGCTCACTTTTATAAGTAGTGGATATTTAAATATTTTATTAATCCTTTAAAACAGTGTTTTCCAAAGTATGGGATTGACCTCTGGGAAGCATGAGAGATCAGCATTTCCCACTCAGCTTTCATTAAAAAGTCTTTTAAAACTAGTCCTTAGCTACTATAATTGCAAAAAATATTTTAGACAAAGTGGGTAGAATTGATGTACTAATGTCTGCCTGAATTTGCAGAGAGCCTGACAAAGAATATTTGCATCTATACCAAGGATTTTACTGGCACAAATATGTTGAATTTATCTCAGTAAGGTAATAGCCTAGAAGCAAATGGGTGTATCTACATGTGCAATTAATTTGAATAAACTCCAGAGCAGTTTGGGACTGAGTAAAGTACTTCTAGGCACAGCATCTACATGTATGCCTGGGACAGCAGCAATTTGATGTGGGATGGAGCAGTTTACACCAGGGCCTCTCTGACCCTGCTTTGCTTGGGCTGGCAAGGGACATGGGGAGTCAGTCCCAGGCTCCAGGTGGTGACATTTGGAGGCGTAGGGGCTGGCTAGGGCATGAGGGTACTGAAAGTGTGGAGCCATGTGGCTAGATGGCAGGCAGGAGTTTCGCTCCCTTCTGACTGGGCTGACCAGGTGCAATTTACACCTGCAGTCAGCATCTGCATGTGCATTTAGTTGTAGTTAATTATCCTGCTATGAGATGTTATTGTCAGGGACAATACTATTTTATGGTGGGATAATTAGTTTACTACAGCATAATAGTGTCACTTATGTGTAGACAGTAATGCTTTACTCCACGGCTAATTAGTCTACTCCGCAGATAAGCACATATGCAGACATGACCAGTGGCTATATTTAAAGGATTATTTTTAACTGTTTCACAGCTTGTTAGAGCAAGCAGGCTTTGTGTACAATGTAAATGTTTATCTGGCATAGTTAAAGGAACAACCTGTTCCTCCAGTGTAGATGTTGTTGTACTGATATAGAAATCATAGCTTATATAAGTTTACTGAAGTAAAATAAAGTATATCTGGGTAGAGTGTCTTATGCTATTATAAATGCATCTACAGTAGGGATTTTACTAAAACAGTTATGTTTAATAATCACACACTTTATATTTTGTGTGTATAATATTGTTGGCCAAATTTAGACTAGGACCAGAGAGGAGGTTTCATATTAAGGAAGTGTATACCAGCATTGCACTGTTCATAGGGAACAAGGGCGAATGGGGCAGGAAAATGTCCAAAGGACCAGTCAGCTGCAGGGAGGTGTGAGACAGATTTATAATATGAGAAGTTTAGCCTTTAACACCCTGGCAAGATTTCGGGGGCAATTCATTTCTTTTTTCTAAAAAGTTTGGGAAATCCTTTACAGGCTACTCTCTGCCATTCCGTCAAGTTATTACATTCTCTCTGGAGGTGACTGTTTATTCTAGTTGATGAAAAAACACTATTAAATAAAATGTATGTAAATGTAAATAGAATATGTATACAACATATTGATTGATGGTTAGCTGTTCTGCAGAGGATAACTATTTTGTATAGTTAATGTAAAAATACCTGAAGTGGGAGAAGAAAAGCAAGAATCAACATTGTTTAAAATAAGTAGCCTCAGTGTAATTAGAATAAGAGATGCTTACTAAAAATGTTCTGCTGCCATAGAAAAATTGAAGATTCAGATAAAAGTCAATAAACAGCAACAGTTGATGCACATGCCTTCTGTATTTTGCTTTTAAAAAATCTCATGAGAATCAGATTTGGTTAACTTTACTCCCTTACCTTTTTGGAAGGTGAGTTGTTACCAAAATATTTGTTAAGGACTAGAAATGAAGCCCTTATTATATGTTGATGTTTATCAAATAGTAGTAAATGAGCACCATCTAGTGGCTTATATACATTATGATTGCAAGCTCTATAATAGGCATAAGACAGGGCAGGATGGCACCTTAAAGCAGTGGTTCCTATCACTCTTCCATAACTTCTGTGAATTGATTGGCACCCCACTTCAATAACTATTTATTGCAACATTTAACCCTTGGCATGGAGGTGGGGGGTAGATGGGGAGACTGAGTTAGCACTCAGCTACTTGTAGAACAGCAGGGCAGTGACAGTCATGAGAGAAACTCCTTGCTCTGGAGCCAACACAGAGGCACCTAAGACACTTAGGGCATAGACAGAATTTACATTTGTCATGCGATCGGCTCCTGGAAAGTACTCTACAGCCACGTACTTACAGTAGTGCATGGCTGCAGAGTGCTTTAAAAGTGCCTGATTTCTTGATAGTCTGAACCCTCATTATATGAGGGTTCAGATGAAGGCACTCCAAAGTGGAGCATCTTCATTAACACCTGATACAACCCAGCTGCACCCCTGGTGTTGTCTTCAGAATGGGAGGGGGAGAAGGGAAAGGAGGAAGCTTGGTCTGGGGTTTATCTAGCTTGTGCTGGAGGGTGAGGCAGGTGGATTGGAGCCCCCCATCTCAGCATTGGATTAGAGGCCCCTCCACCCGCATTTTGAAGTCAGCATTGGAGCTGGGGTGGGGGGCAGGGTTAGGGGAGAGCGGCTGCATATATGTAGCTGCTTCAAACTGGAGCAAACTTAGCCGCCCCCAAACCTCTGGACCCAACAATGAATGTCTGTTGGGTTGAGGGGAACACTGTAACTCATGGTGCTTCCTGTGAAGCACCATGAGTTACATTCGGGAGCTTCATGTCTGTCAGCACCCTTAGCTTCTCATGCAGGGGGAGGGAAGAACAACAAGCACTTTGCTTCTCACAGAGGCCTGCAAGGACAAGCATGAACTTTCCTTCTCACACTGGAGCCAGGCAGAGATGAGCTTGTACTCTAACCTTTTTGTAAAGAAGCCTCCTGGGAAAGAGAGAGTGCTTATTTCCTCACAGCCTAAAAATGATCTTGCAGCACTCCTACTGAGAATTACTGCCTTAGAGATTAATTTGTTCAAATGGGCATAAGTTTTCTTAAGCAACAGCTAAAGCATCTGATGAAGCAGGCTGTTGCCTACAAAAGCTTATGTCTCCCTGAACAAATTAGTTCCCAAGATGCCACCCTGACCTGCATTTTGCCTGACTTCAGACTAACATGGGTAACTATCTCTCTCAAAGCTCTGTAATAGGTAGACATTCTTGGTTGTAACCAGTGCAAATAATTTGAAGAATATTTTACTAACCTTTGCTTTTCTGTCTTCTGAATTCTATTTGCAGGTGAAATACAAAAAAGATATGAAAAGTTTGCGTGATCCAGTTTCAGACTTACCAAACTTGCTGTATTTAGAGCATGCTTTAAATATCAGCAAAACGCATAGTAATGTAAGTTGGCTTTTTAAACTGATGATCTTTGAATTTTTAGTTAAAAATGAAAATATAGCTATTTATTTAATTAATTGAAATATGCATTGTTTCTGTGGTATTACCTTCCTGTTCATCAATGCATTTTGATGATAATTATATTGATGATATCTCAGTCATGCACAATAATACTAAGGCAGACGAGGTTCTTTTGATAAATCCGATATCTTTTATTAGACCAACTCAAATAGTTGGAAACATTCTTCTTTGCAAACATTCAGGTATAAATACCCTTCATCTGTCTTATGGAACAGCACACAGGAACTGCAGATGCTTCCTAAGCCTGAGAATAATTTTTCCAGTTATGCAGAGAACTGGGGCAGTCACATTATACCAAGGATCGGGGCAGGTGTGATAACTCAAGTTGTTGGCCCAGTCGGGTGTCTTTGATCCCCTGATGTAGAGGTCCTGCATGGCTAGCCTTCTGATTCTTGGTTTCTAGAAAAGGGGCAATGTTTTTTGGGGGGGTGGGTTTGTCTCTCTCATTTCCTCTTAGTCATCTCCTTTTCTGGTGATGATATCTAAGGGTGTGTACAAAAGTTGCTTTTTTCACCATTTAAAGTGCTCTATTGCTGTGACTTAACAGAAGCGTACGGCTTTACAGCACTTTAAACATGAGTACAGCACTTTAAATTAATCCTTGTTAAATGAGGTATTAAATTTGAAGTGTTGTATTTTATAGTGCTTTAGCAACCTACAGCGCTTTAAATAACTTCTGTATGCTGGTCAAATTTCTGACCAGTGGAGAAGTCCCAGGAGGCTGTGGAGCACCCCTTGCCTCCTAGCCTGGAAAGTGCAGGGAGGCTGAGAATTCTGCCTCCTCCCCACCCAACATTGCACTTATGTCATGTTTAAGAATGCTGTAACTTAATAGTGCTATAAAAAGTTCTCTAAATTACAGCACTGTAAAATATGCAGATTCTGTGCATATTTGTGTACTTTTGTACACATCCCAAGTCTGCAGATCATTAGGGTTTAGCCTAGTCTCTACTGTTTGTCTGCCTAATACTCAGCCTTATTAGGCTTAAGTTTAACTTCCTTCATTTGAATATATTTAAATTGATATTTCACTAGCAGGTTAAGTGAGCACTTTAAGAATGAACTTTGTCACTTCCTTATCTCAGATGTCACGAGGACCCTGATATTTTCCTGTATGTAAAACTGCATAAATTCTCACCTTTAAAACATTGTCTTCAACTGCCATGATTTCCATCTTTCTTTTACCCAGACGATGGTTGCTTTCATTACATCGTCTTTATTTTCATACCCATGCCTAAAATATTGATTTTCTTGAATTTCTAATCTTGGCTGTGGTGAGAAACAAGAGCACGTCATTCCCATCCTCTGAGCTATTTTTCTAATAAAAAAGATATTAGTCTTCAAAATCTTTCACAGAGTTGACCTACCCACCCCATCTCTTGATTTAAGCCCGTCTTTCCCCATGCTTCTCAAATATCATTTTACTTTGTGCTCTCTCTCTCCATAGCAAATAGACAATCCTTCATCTAGTCTATTCCCACCACCTGGAACAGCTTTCCAGACTTTCCGCCCCAACCGATTTCCAAACACTCATCTCAAGATCTGTTTCTCTTACCTTGACCTACAATCTGAAACAAAAATCTCTTTAAGAGCAATTACTGAACCTTACAATTTCCCTGTGGTTTACTTTTCTCCCATGAAATTTATGCTTTGCTTTGTCTTTATCTTAATACAGTCACACCTGCCACCTGTGCAATACATTGTAAGCTATATGTTTTATTATTCTGCCTCTCTACTGTGATTTGCTACAAATAATTATTGTATGGCTGACTACAAAATAGTTTAGCTATATTTTATTAGAAAGATGTTATTCAGACCAGTGTTTTATGGGAATAAATTACTGCATTTAGAAGGAGATCAAGAAATATGCATTTGCTTACAAAGAAAGGCAAGGATTTCTTTGGGTAATATATTTTTTGGACCAACTGTGTAGCTGGGATAGAGTTAGACAAGTTTTCAAATAAAAGACCTGACAAAGAATGTCTTGCAAGTTTGCTTAAAAACTCTTACAAACTCAGTTATACATGTTACTAGATACATGTTACTATGTGCCTTATTTCAGCTGAGAAAGCTTCATTTTGAGATATTTCCTCTGTATTTTGAAGGAATTCCTGAAGGATACAAATACTTCTTCTGTTGATTCAGCAGTGGGGAACTTTTAGTGACGAAAATAAGTATGACAGACTCTTGAGAGGTGTGAAATAATGTGTGGAGCATAACATGGAGTTTAACTGTGTTCCCTTCTGAGTTCCTTCACCTTCCCATTATGTAGCAGGAAGCATTAGGCAAGTCTGGCGTAAACCTTCCTTATGGAAATGTTGCTGAGTACCTGAAAGTGGGAAGAGGGGAAGGGGAAAGGAGGGTCTCACTTGCTCCTGAGAATTCAAGGACTCCTGCTGCTCCTGCTTTGTATCTGCACCTGTCTCCTGTCTCTGGATTGGGGGGAAGTACCATTCCAGTGCCCCCTCTAAGTCAGAGCCCACACCTGGTGCCACTCTTGCTCCCCCCCCACCTCAACAATTACATTGGTGTTCAAGCTTGCTCTTGTTTAACTACCCTGTCCTCCCCCCTCTTTAGATGTAGTAAGTGTGTCTTTAGGAAACCATGGATCTGAGTGATCTGTTTGGGTCACAACATTTTTCCGTGCTCCTCAAAACTTCAGATGGGTCATCCCAATATGACTTGGAAGGGTTAACATTAGGAAGTTTAAAATGTTAAGATTGTTACAGCTGTGTCTAGTGGCCACTGGCCAAGAACCAGTGCAGGTGAAAGGATAACAAAGCCATTTTCCAAAGGTAAATGACACTTGGAATTCAGCTGCTAGATCTTGTGGATATAGACAAGGGGAAACCTGAAAATCTCTACAGACTGAGGTCACTTGACTTTGGCTTTTGCTACCTCCAGACTCCTCCTTCCATTGCACATGCGGTGTATGACAACAGGAGTAGGTCCCAAGCAATTGCTAATATAGCATGAGCTACTTTAACCCTTACTGGAAACAAATAGCAATAGAGACCATGAGTTGGGCACACTGTATCCCTCCTCAGTGTTTAAATTAATAAAATTATGCCTTACCTCTTAAAATCCTTCCCATGTGTCTGTCATTCTTTCACCTGTCTGTCCTACTAAATTCAAAGACATAAAGGGAATGATATTAGGGCTGTGTGAAGCTTTGGTTGCTGATTTGATTTGGTGGGGATTCGGCCCAATTTGGCAGTTGAATCTCTGAATCCAAATCAAATTAGGAGACCCATTAATCTTTCTGAATCGAATCAAAAGGCTCCGAGTTTATTCAGAGAAATTCAATGATTCAGCCATAGACACAGCTTTATATGTTTTTTCTACATAGCTTGAGGTACCAGGTGTGGCTCTTGAATGCTGTGATGGTGGGGTGGATGGAGTATCCCATGGGAGTGTTGTGGGGGTCCCCTTCGTGCTCAGCGGTGGACCCGGAAGTGGACCAGAAGTACTTCTGGTCCACATCCAGGTCTGCTGCGAATGCAGGGACCCCATGCAGGGACCCCCCTTTACACCTCCCTGCTCAGTGACCGGTGCTTCCTGGACCTGGGGGGATACCTGGGGTCCTCCTGTGGCCTGTTGCTGAGCTGGGGCAGTGTTGGGGGGGGTGGTACCCTGTGTGCTTGGCAGTGGACCGGGTCCACGTGCTCAGCAGCATTTCCGGGTCTGCCACAAAGTGCGCGGGGGATCCCATCAGAGTGTACATGAACTGTGCCTGGTACCTCGAGGTACGTAGAAAAAACATAAAGCTGTGCCTATGGCCAAATCACTGATTCTCCAAATCAGAATTGAATCTTCAGATTCAGATTCGGCTGAATCTAATCAGGACAGTGATCCGAATCAGTGAATCGAATCACTGTCCCCCAAATCAGGCCGAATCTGAATCCAAATCGAATACTGCCCACTTCGCACGCCCCTAAGTGAGATATATTTCTAAGGAAGAAAATTTAAAGAAACCAAAAGTACTGTAGCTTTACAGTCGCATGTTGCTTTATTTTCTCTGTACTTGCATCCTGTAAGAATAAATCAAGAAATAAATTGCAAAAGATAATACATCTAATATTTCCTATGCTTTACAATGTAAATTAATTCCAGATGCATGTGGTTATTTGAACTGGTTAGTTTAGACAGGTACAGGATTTAGGGGAATCAATTCTGTGCCTGGAACTTAGTGTAGTAAGAATTATGAAACTTCCCTCTATTGTTTTTCCAAATTATTTTTTAATTTTGTTAAATTTTATTACTTGAGCAGCGACTTTAAAATATTACTTCAGTGTCTGAATACATTTTTCATTTGTTTCCATTAGGGGAGCTAAACAGATGTTATGTGAAATTTATATCATTTCCACTAGGAGGCAAATGGAGACTATCAAATATTCTTTCATGCCCCTTCAGACTAAATAATAATAAATATTCTTACAAGGGTAAACCATTAACATTTATGTATCCAAGACATTTTTTAAAACTCTTCTGGACTCTGTAGATGTTATCATTTTTTTCATTCTACGTCATGTTGTAATTGAGATCCTTTAAATTTTTTTAGATTCAGCATTACAGCTTCTGAGAAATGGGGATAAAATACTTTCTCTTATGTTGGTTGTCTTTTACTTATTTAAAATGCTCTTTAAGTTTCAAACAGTCTGGATTTCATATATAAAAATATGTTTGGATATTTTTTGTTTCAGTATGAATACAAGAAACTGTTTGAGAGAAGCAAGGGACTTTATCATTTTGCCTTGGACACAGCTGAACAGATGCACCACAAAGAAAATGCTGTGCTCCAAAGTCAGGTATCTACATACTGTAAATAAATCTTACAAAGACACAAATTCAGCTTTCATGTAATGACTAAGTCGTGCAGAGTCCCGCAATAAATTACGATGATACGAAATGCATATAAATTCAGCATGGCCCCTCATGGATATAGCAAAGTGCTTATATTAAAGTATCAGGGCTAAGTACATTGAGGTCTTTTACAGGAAAGGGGTCTCTTTAAACTATTCTTAAATTCAGATGCCAATAAATATATAAGTGTGTGTGGAACCAAGAGAGTTATGGGTGAAATCGTTCTTTGCAGATTTGGTGATGTAATTTAATGTGGTACTTTAGTTAGTTAGTTAATGTATATATACATACATATATGCATGTATGCATGGTATGTGTGTATCACATGAAAATTATATCAGTTCTGTGCCTGGAACTTAGTATAATAAGAATTATGCATATATTGCTTTTCCAAATTATTTTTTAATTTTGTTTAATTTTATTACTTGAGCAATGATTTTAAAATATTAATTCAGTGTCTGCAGACATTTTTCATTTCATTATGTGTATATACCACATTAAAATGATATGACGAATCTGAAAGGAATGAAGGAATGATTTCACCCTTAACTTTCTTGGTTTCATAGTAGATGAAACTTCCCATATTTAGCTTTGTAATATCTCTTTCTCTCTCTATCCCACCTCCCCCTCTCTCTGATTAGAATGATTAAGTTATACATGAACTTTGTCAATAAATCTGAATAAAACTTGTATGAATATGAGAGAATGAAGTTACAAGGCTCATCCAGGTTTTAGGGTACCAGGTCAAAAGAAGTCTGCTCCTCCAAATCATGATATTTATAAGATGTGTGTGTGTGTATCCCCAGAGTTATGTCCATAAATATAGTTTTCAGGGTCAAATTTAGAGATAACTAAAGGAGGAGATGGAGATTATAAGAGCAATGCCATCTCCTTTTTCAGCAAGGGGTTAACTTGAGCAATGCTTGAAAGAAGTATTTAAGAATGGTTGCTGGGGAGCCAGAGGACACTGTCCATGGTAAGTCATGTCTTCGTGTGTCAGGGCCTGAAGCTCTGCTTGAACCCAAGGTTTTGGATAGTTATTTAAGTGCGTCTTATTTAATTATCCTCATGGTAATTTGTTTTAATATGTGCCTTTAAATAAAGGCTTGCTACTGCTCATAAACTGTTATTTCTGCTGAGTCACTCATTACAAGATGCAGTTGATGTCTTGAAAATTCCACTGATTCTGGTCTAGATAATTGAAGCAAAAGCATATGCTGCAGTAGAAAACTTTCCTTGATCTGTTTGTCCTGCTTTTCCGGCAGAAATTATCTAAGTCAAGGCTTCTGAGAAGGGACTTGACAAGGCCAGAGTTTGTCCTTACCGAGTTTACAATGATTAGATTTTCTCATCTGCTATAATATTAAATTATTTTTCTTTTCTTAGGTGAAATACAAAGAGGATTATGAAAAATCGAAAGGCAAATCAATGCTGGAGTTTGTGGATACACCAATTTATCAGGTTTCAAAGGAGGTTCAAAAGATTCAAAGTGAGGTTGGTGAAAATATGTGTTTGAATTAGCATCATGTGTTATAACATCTAGAGATGGATCAAAACTTGAAGCATCTTGACCCCTTTAAACTGCTGGCGATTCAGATTTTAATCTCCAAATATAAACACCTGTCTACAATTTAGGCTTCAGATTGGATCGAAAATTGGAAGAGACCTGTTACATAGTTACAGTCTGGATTGAGTCAGAATTTCATTGGAACAGGAGTTTGATGTCCTTGAACCTTGAATTGTAGACTTCAAGAGCTCTTAAAAATCAGAGCCTAGTTACGATGCTCATTTGGATATGCACCTCCCTACCTAATCTTTTTTTTTATAACCGTTGGTATTGGCATTGTTAGCTAGCATAAAAATATTCACTTTATGGTAAACAAGGAAATAGAGAAACACTGTACCGAGTCCATGCAATGTCTGTAGGACCTAAGGCAATTTCCTCCTTTCTGTCTCTCTTGTGGCTGAGGTAGAAACCTCGGTCTCTTAAATTTTCCTTTCTACACTTTTCCAGTGTATCTATTTTTTTCTTTGTGAAGATTTATTCTGAATATAGTTCATGAAAAGTAAATGAGGAAAGATGTTTTCCTGGCTTTCTAGCATTTAGGGCTATAACAGAGAACCTGGGGCTCCTTGTTCCTTTACATTAAAAGCAGCCCAGTCAGGGAACACTGCAGGCTAGGCAGGGTGCAGCAGCTTCCGGGTGCCAGGGCAACAGGACAAATGAGGCAATTAGCAGGCACCTGCAGGCAGCCAACTGACTGGAAGGGGGCAGAGCCCTGGGAGATGCGGTATAGAGAGGTCCCATTAGTGCCTGAGGGGCACACGATCACCTTGAGCCATGCCAGGGGTAAGCACAAGGCCTGAGTGACTATTAGCACCCAAGGAGGGGTGCAGACAAGCAGGGGTCAGGAGCCTGGTGCCCATGAGGGGCTCAACCAGATGAGCCAGGGGCCCAATGTCTGTGAGGGGAACGGCCAGACAGGAGCCTGGGGGTCTGGCATATAGGGTCCAAGGGCCCAGTGCCCACAAGAGCCAAACATCATTATAGTATCACCTGTGAGGCTTGGGGTGTGGTATAGGGGGGGATAGGAGCCATGCATTTAGCCCCTAAAGCTTTAGGTGCCTTGCAGTGGCACAGTCATAGTGAGGCCTAGTGAGGAGCCTGGGACCAGAGAGGCCCAGCGAAGGGCCTGGGCATAGCAGAGACCAATACAGTGCCAAGGAACCCCAGGGGGGTTCAGTTAGCCTGGGGCCACATGAAGGCCTGCAGGCAGCCGCCTCCTCATTATTATTATTATTATTATTATTCCATCAAGGCGTGGTGGTCAAGAAGGGAAGGTGCCCTAGGGGCGGAGCAGGGCGTGGTTGCAGAGTCTCTTGGGGGCATCATAGCCATGCCTGGGATCCCGATGTGTTACAAGGGTGCAGACAGAAGCAACAATTTTTGCTCTATCTGGCCATAGGAAGCAATCTATAAGCCATGACCAAATGCAAGTGAACAACTGTAGAGGGTTCAGATTGCATGAAGGGTCTGATGAACATGTTTGGTCTGGGTTTTTTTTGGCCCCTGCTCAAGGGTGGGATAGGTGTATTAGAGCCCCCCACCCACCGAGGTTGGGGGGGGAGTTTCAATTCATCCACCCCACCCTCCAGCATTGACTGGGGAACCTCTAGAATGAGCTCCCTCTGCTCCCTTTCCCCCCTCCCATTCTAAAAATAGCGACAGGCTGGGTGGGAGAAGGGGCCATTTCTAGGACAAACCAGTTGCAGGCTCATAGACAGCAGCTAGATTCCCCTCCCCTCTGGAATTAACAGTGAACTTCTGTTTGGTTTGGTTTGGAGGGTTGTTGTAACTCAGAACGGTTCCTGCAAAACATTCTGAGTTACAGTGGAGAGCTGCACTTCTATCTGCACCCTTAGGGTGTGTCCACACATGCAAGCATGTGCGCTTGCAGCAGCTCAAATAGAACTGGTGCAAATGTGAGCTTGGCCTTTTTGCCTCAGCTCACGTGCCTGGACATTCACTTTAGTGTTGGGCAAATTGTGCCACTTGGGGAAAAATAACCCTGCCTGGCTCCTTCTGGATCTGCAACCAGGGGGAGCTAGAGCCCAGGGCTAGCACCTGTCCTGGTCCCATCAATACAAAAAGCTGCCCTGGTAAGTAGCTCAGGGCTACTTGCTCTTAGGAGCTTCTGGGGCCCACTACCCCTTGTGCCAGCTAGATTGCTGAAGCAGCCCTGAGAGTTCCCTGCACTCTTTACCCACTGCAGCAGTCTGGCAGTGGGGGCTGCTGCCTGGCTGTGACCTGCTGCACACCTGCCAGACCCGGATGGAGACTGCACAGCCAGTAGAGGCATCTGCCCCTCTGGGCCAGCTGCCAGTGGGCTCTGGCTGCAAAGTTGGCCTTTGTGTAGCACTACTGCCATGTGTGCCCCCTGCCTAGCCATCTGGGCAGCTAGGAAGATGTTCTAGGTGTGGTGGCCTGCTTTGAACTGTCAAAAGTATGTCCTCCTGGCCCCATTTGGCCAGGAGGTCAGCCACCTTCAGCTGGGTCCAAGGTGCCAGGTCTGATCAGGCAGGGTCCTGCCACTGGCCTCCCTAGCAGGAATTCTGGTGTTCCCTGTTTGATAACTGAAAAATCCCTGATAAAAAAATCCCAAAGTCAGCCTGTAAAATACCGCAAAATCCACGTTCCTCTACAATTAAAACAAAAGACCGTGCGCGCGTGTGAGAGAGAGAGAAAGAGAGAGAGCGAGCAATCAGTTGGGCAATGTTTTATTTATATATCTACAGTGTTAAAGCAATTTGGAAGCCTACCAGTGTCTCTGTCATCATAATAAAGTTAATTCTAAATACCTATATGTTTTGCTTCCCCCCGCAACAGGGGCCAAATGCCCCTCCACTTGCTCCCCCAGACCCCTGGATTGCTGACCCGCTGCCCTGGGCCCTGCCGGCTCCTGCGGCTCCCCGCCCAATGGCTGCCTCACCTGTCCCCACCCCCACCAGCTCCCGAAGCCTCCCACAATGGGCAAGGCCCACATGCCCCACCTCAGCCCCCCATTGGCTGCCCCACCAAGCCCCCCCCCTCCCCCAGACCCTGCAATGGCTGCCCCCCCCAGCCCCATCCCCTGCTTGCAGGCCTGGCTCCCTGAGGGCTGCCAACACCCCCCAGCCTCCAGCACTTTAAAAAAAGAAAAAAGAAAAAAAAAAGCCTCTACTCACTGCAGTAGCAGGGGCTGTGGGGGCTCTGGGGCCTCCTGGTAGAGCCCTCCCATGCAGCATGAGGCAGCGGGGGGCAGTGGGGCCCGGGCTGGGGCCACTGCGGCTGTCACCCAGCCTCATGACCCCGACATCAGCTGCTCCTGCTGATGTGTGGGTTTTTTTGTTTGTTTGTTTTTTTACTGAACAGGATGTTGGGGTGGGGGTGCAGTGATTGAGGGTTTGGGGCCC